CAACTCATTCTATTGGGCAACAGACAACCAAAATGAGCCAACCAGTGTCTTCACAAGTATAATACACAAAGAATCTCCCAGTCGTCTGGAATACACAAAATAGTAATGTGCACCTCAGAAGCCCGGGAGTGCCCTGGTGAGCAAAAAACACCCAGAATATAGTCCACAATGATTCACCACATAGGTGTCCATTGCTAAACGAAGGATGCTTGTCTCTCAGATACATACTCCCCCATTTCCAAAGACTATAGTCACTTGGAAAAGTCTCCCCCTCCACCACATCAGGAGATAAAATATTAATGTTTCAAAAAATCTACTCCAAAGTCACAGCTTCTCACATGGTTAGTTTTAGCAGTGGAAGGAGTCGCTTGCTCCAAACTTAAAATATTCAACGGCACTTCCGAGAAGCAGGCAGGTCCTCAGGTTCAACTGCAGGTTTTGTTAGACAGCTGCTGCAGTCTGAAAAAGCTGCATTCCTTGAAGCTTCTCCAGAGTTCCCTTTGGGGGAGGCATATATAGGGGGGGGTGACCCATTAACCCCCTAGGTGGCAATACTTTTTGATGTCACTTCTATAAGACTTCATGAGGAGAACTGTTTGCAAGTAATTTAGGTGCAATGCAGTATCCTGTCCCTTTAAGCACAGCACACTCCCCAGGCTGGCAAAAGTAAAAGCTCTGTCTCTCCTCCTCCCGTTCTTATACTGCCCTATTTCTACTCCTCTGGAAAGCTAATCCTTGCTATACAACTGATAGCAAAAGCACCCCCAGCCAAAAGCCCCCTCCAACTTCAAAAGAAGTTATCCCCCAAATGAATTCAAATTAAGCATCAGGGTCCCCTCCCTGCCTCCCCTGTAATGTAGGAGTTCCAGGGGAGGGACAGAGGAAAGGCTACAAAATTATTCAAAACTGGCATCTTGCAGCTAAGCCTTCAGATCAGGAAGGATCTTGCAGCAAAGGAATTTGCCAGAGGAAGAGCCAAATGCCACGTTCAAACTCATCCAATTGCAACAGCAATCCGATCTCAGCGACAACCAGGAACATCTTTACAGTTAAGCAGCGATTGCTGAAGCTGCATGTTTAATTGAGGGTTTCGGCAAATCATCCTCAGATAGCATGGCATGCAGAGAGATATTCTCTTAATATACTCACTGTGCAGCAAGGCATGAGTGCCTGTGTTGGTCTCCAAGCAATCCTTTCACAGCCTTAGGCAGAGTAACCTGCTTTTCCTTCCCATCTCAGGCAATCCAGCATTACTGGAAAGCTGCCAGAGAAGAACTGATTCATCAGCCAATAAAATTGTCCAAAGCTGCCATTCCACAGGAGACCGTGCCTCTCTCCTGCTCTGGCTGCGGACGGAGGCATTAGCCAATAAGGAAAATCAGCACTAGAAAGTGCAAGGGGGAGCATTGCATGCTGCCTGGGTACCCTGCAAAGGTGAGAATTTGCACCTCCGCTCCATCCACCTGTGGTCTTGCACACAGCAGACCTGGGTGGAGAAATGTGAGCTCCATGTGACTTTCCAGCATAGGGCAAGGTCTTAGCTTCTGGGGATGTGGAAAGTGAAAACAGGAAGTGTAGGTTCACCATGAAACAGTGTGAAGATCAGGAACAAAGATTTCACTCCAGGGGATGCTGGTGTTGAGTTGAAAATGGAGGGCCTCCCAAATTGACGTGTGTTGCTAAAAGGGGCCACAGATGTGTAGAAACTGCTTTGAGGGTCTTTCTTACATTCAAGTGGTATACACATCTGATGAAATAAAGAACTACAATAAATAATCATGACAGTCTTCCCTGTTCAGGCAAACAAAATGCACCCCAGAAACTCCAATGAGCAAGGGGAAAGGGCAAGGTTGGCCAAGTCATTTTGGCACCTGGGGTGACCCACAAAATGGCATCCACCTCCCACTATAGCTCAGTCAGTAGAGCAGGCATAGGCAAACTCCAGTCCTCCAGATGTTTGGGACTACAATTCCCATCACCCCTAGCTAACAGGACCAGTGCTCAGGGATGATGGGAGTTGTAGTCCCAAAACATCTGGCGGGCCGGAGTTTGCCTATGCCTGCAGTAGCACATGAGACTTTTGATCTCATGGTCATGGGTTTGAGCCCATGTTGAGTTGAGTGAAGATCTCCATCAGAAACAAATGAGGAATCCAATTCAGTTCAACCCTACTCATTGAAGTGGGAATCAAAGGCTCTGGTGGTGGGGCTCTGAATCATGCTGGGAGGGTGCAGATCCCAGCAGACTCCAGAAGGCGCAGTCCCTGCCATTTCCTCCCTAGAAGTGGCAGATGAGACGTGCCTCCTGTTTGCTGAGAGGAGACAGACCCAGCCTCTGAGTGTGCCACAGCTGTTGCTGACTTCGTGGCAGCTGCACTGGTTGATGCATTCCTTGGCGGCTGGATCTGCTGCCTCATAGATCCTGCCACCTAAGGCAGTCGCCTCACTTTGTCTTATGGGTGCGCTGGCCCTGGCAAAGGGTTATGGGGGCACAGCATCAGATTGCATGAGGAAATAGCTATATTGGGCTGGATTCAACTCATTAGTCCTGCCAGCAGAAGCCCACAGAAGAACTTCCAGTAGTGCAATAGGGCTTTCCTCCCTCTTCTCTTCCTTTGCCCCTCATACCCCCTAAGTTGGCTCTGGGGGTCAGGAGAACTCCCAGAAGAGTGCACTGGGGGAAGGAGAGGGGCGATCATTCCACCAGGCAAGCAAAGATGCTTGTGCAATCTGTCTAGCGTTATGGTGAATTCCTCCGAGTGGAAGCTACGTGCAAAACGTAATCTCGCACTGCTGCTAGACAGGCATTCACATGCTTCCTTATATTCCCCATGGCTCTGGTTAACCACCAGCAACCAGGCTTATTCCATTTGGAACTAGGGGTAAAGGCTTCCAAGGCAAACAATGTGATTCTCCAAGACAGGCTCAAGTCACAGAGGTGTTGATTACAAAATGGAAATGCTGTTGCAATCTGTGGCATCTCTTCCCCATTTTGAATGAAGCTGTGATACCTTTCTCATCTTTATTCTCAATTACAAGCCCTGCACTCCTACTGGGCAATGAGATTCAGAGCTGTTAGCTCATCGCTTGACTGCTGGAATCTAGGCTTTATCATTTGCACACTGAAATGGCTACTTGGGATGGATGTTACACATGCCACTTGAATGCTTCTGAGCTTCTCTCCTGCTGATGATGTGAAAGGCAGAAAGGAAGTTTTAAATGTGCCTGTGTACAATTTTTAAATGTGTCAATGATATTGCAGAAGCATGTTTTTAGAACGGCACTTCAACTTTCCTGCGGTTTTCACGTCACCTGTGAACAGATGCATGCCATCTGAGGTGCATATCTAGCCTTGTACTCATTTCTTCCATATGCAGATTCAGGAATGGATCCATGCACTGCTTATCCTCTCTTCTGTCCCTGAATATATGCACGTGTGCTTGCATGCACAGGTGAGGCAGCAAGGTGGTAAACACAGGAAATATTAGTCGGCTTCCTAAAGATAAGGATTCCTTTCACCTTGTCTGCATCTGGTGAGGTGGATAAGGCGAGAGGAAACTCTAATCAGTTCCACCTGTGACAAGAATACTCCTTTATCAGTTTCTTCTCCTTGTCTCCCCAGAGGCTCTGCAGAAGATACCAGACAGCGTGGACAGACTATCTTTGAACTTCCAGAGAAAAGGAGGGGGCAGCCCCAAGGTGGAAAAGGAAGCTCCCTCAGTAGCTGACAAGTCTCCACGCTTGCAAAGATGGTTACTTGCTGAAGACCCAATGGTTAGTCTGCCAGTCAGTTGTTTTACTGGGTCACACAGAAACTGAGTAAAACAACACATAAATAAGAGGTGGCTCAAACCTACCTTTGGCTGTTGGAACAATCCATTAACTGCGGCCAACAGTACCTAATAACTTTTCAGTACAGGAGATGGGGGAAGAGGAAGAAGAGGAAGCCGTAGGCAGACAGGTGAGCTGACAGCAGAGGTGTCTGTTGGCTGTAGCAATGCTGATGGTCCTACATCTATGTGGGAGCTGACCAGATTTCTGCTGGTTGAAGCTGGCCTGGCTTTACTTGTGTTAGCATGGGTTAGGGTTATGAAGATCTGGGCCCAGAAGAGCACCTAACTATTCTAATTATACACAGACCACTTCAGTGTTGTGTAGCTAGACAGCAGATGGGGGGAGGGGATGGCAGCAGGGTAGACTGCTGCAGAAGTGGGACAGGAGTCCCTTGGGATGAAGAAGACCCAACTAGGAATACAACGTTAGCACTGAGCAGGTGACCTGATCACGGCACCATCAGGGAAAGCTAGTGCTATATTCTCTTTGAATATCTACAGCTGGTACTTTTCATGAATATCATGCCTGGTGGCATTCTGACTCCTTTGATTTAGCTATGCATATTGGACATTGAACTTGGCTTCAAATGGACCACGCAGTTCTAGTGGGGCTAAAGCAAAGGTAGGGAACCTGTGGCTCTCCAGATGATGTTGGCCTCTAACTCCCATCAGCAACCAGCCAAGGTGGCCAATGGTCAGGAATGATGAGAGCTGCAGTCTAAAACCATCTGAAGGTCCATCAATGCCTATGCCCTGTGACAGGGTGCAAATAATCAGCAGCAAATGAAACAACTAAAGACATCTTTTCAGCAACCAAAATACATACAGGTAAACCACATAGCTGCTTGATTTGTAAAACAGATGGGCCTTCCATCTTCTTCATAAAGCAATTTGCAAGAACATGTATCACTCCATAGAATAACATGTGGGTGTTTGTATGCTTCTTCTCTCTCTCTCTCTCTCTCTCTCTCTCTCTCTCTCTCTCTCTCTCTCTCTCTCTCTCAGACACACACACACACACACACACACACCACTGAGGGCACAGATTTTTTTAAAGACTGTTTAAGGATTGAGATTTAAGTCTTTGAAACTGCCCTAGAATGAGATAAATGGAAGGGGTGTTGATTAAATTACCACGGACCACAGAGGAAGAACATACACTGAAACATATTGTGTCAATGTTTTATTTAGTTATTTTTATGTCATTGAAAAGACAATCAGACAATTAAAATTAAGGACAGTATGCAGCAAACATCTGTACAATGAATGAAACACTGAACATTGTACATCATTTGAACACACAATTATAACAGCAACAGCCGATGCACAAAGAATACTCTCTTTTCAAAATCATGCCTTGCCTGGAAATTAAAAACAGAATAAAAAACAAGGAGACTGGCACGCATCCAAAGAAGGAGGTTTTTCTTGATGTGGGCATTACAGCAGGTTCCGCTGTCCAAGAGACTAGTTGCTTTTTAAACTTAATGACAACTTCTCTCTTTTTGACAGTGGTGAAAACAGCAAACAAGCAAGCCTGCATGAACTGTTCTCTCCTTCCTTTGAATCCTGACCCATAGGTTATTACTCCCAAGTTTTAAGGCTAAAAAAAGGATGATTTGAACACTCCAAGCAATATAATTTTGCACTCTGAGGTGTTTTTATAACTTCAAAGCGTAGATCAAAAGGAAATTATATAACAAGCAGACCAGTGAGAAACTATTCCGATTCAAGCCAGTTTTGATATGTACCCTGCTGGACTGTCTCTGCAGTCAGCAAAGGAGACAGACCAAGGCATTTTGGTGTCTGAACCCCCACCTGCAAAAAAATAACAACCCAACAGTGGTAAAAATAATAAGCCAAATAATTGACAAGTTAGCTGCCCTTTGCTGCTGCCCCAGATGAGCTCTGACTAAGAGGAAGATCAGACCTGTCAGCAAAACAAATGCTTAGGATGGGCTAGCATAATACATCCACAGACCATTGTGTTATGTTCCCGTTACAGGCAGGTAATCAAGTGCAAATGTTTAGGGCTACGTTTTTACAGCATGAACTAAAACAGCACCCTCTCCCTCACGCACACACAGATGGCTTATGAAAATGATGTGCACTCAGTTATAGTTAGGCAATTTTAGGCTTTGGACTTAATAGTCCTCTTTAGATCGTAATATGCTGAAAATGCGACAATCCAACGCTGCTACTTTTGGGGGCCTCCCTGCTCGTTCTGCTGAGCCCTGAGCTCTAAAGTCCTGCCCTGACAGCTCCATTGATTGCAGCTAGTAATGAAGGCCAGGCTGACTCTGGCCAAACCCTATGAAGCAGTCTTAGGCAAACTGGGCCCTCCAGATGTTTTGTGACTACAACTTCCATCATCCCTAGCTAACAGGACCAGTGGCCAGGGATGATGGGAGTTGTAGTCCCAAAACATCTGGAGGGCCGAGTTTGCCTATGCCTGCTATAAACTTATCACTGGGCACAGTTGTCCCCTGACGAAGATACCTATCAGGAGCTACATTATTTTAGTAGCATCCATCAACATCTTCATGAGGTAGGGTGAATGAGCTGCAAGGGATTAACTGAAAGGAAGTAAGGGAAAGAATCTAAGCCAGGGGTGAGGAAACCTGCTGCCTTCCAGACATTGCTGAACTGCAGCTTATGATCCCTGGCAGGGGCTGATGGGAGCTGTAATTCAGCGATATCTGGAGGGTAACACCACCTTTGATCAAGGCAAAGAGCATGCAGCTCCTATGCTTCCCCCTATTTTCTTTGCCCAAGTCCTACACCTCCATAATGAGTGGAGCCTATGCGAAATTTAATTACTTCTGAACCCTGGGCCTGTGATCCTGCAACTTTTAATTGATCTAATGTTTTCAACCAGCACAAATTTTAGGCATGTAGGGCTGGATCCCACCTGATTAACAGAATTTCACCTGTAGGATATTCTGCTGAAGAAAGGGGAAAGATGACTTTTTATTGTTCTCGTCCTTCTATAGCTCCTCTGTGTCCCCATCTCCCACTACACTGCAGGATTGGGAGACATTTCAGATCGGTGTGGAAGATGTCACTGAAAAGCACAGGGAAAGATATTTGTAGAAAAACACTCCTCACTTCCTTCAGTGGGAGTCTGCACTGGATCTCAGTCCATTCTGTCCACAGGAAAGGGCAAGTCCAGATTCCCCTCATCATTCTTAAGAATATTTGCACTGCCTTGAAAGGATGCCATTTATTTTAAGAGGAAACAACGAAATACATTCTGGTAACTTTTCAGACACAGCAGTCATCTATGGTAGACAGGCACTTTGTAAAAAGAGAAAAGAAAAAACCCCAATAGGCCAGTTTTGGTCTGAGACCCCATTTTGTAAGGAGAGTTCACAAGTGCAATTATTCGCATGCTAACTGTATTTATGTCAAGATGCACAAAGACTGCTAGCATCAATTATGGCATGATTAGGATCGTTGCTTATTACATTAGACAAATCTTGTGCAAAACCTCTTCCTGGATAATGATCTACAGAGACAACAACAAGGGTTTATTGGCTCTCCCCCAAAATCAAGCAGGATTTCATTTCTACTATGTAGAAGACCCCTGCATTGGAATGTGGCACGTATGAAACAGATTAATCTATATTTTAGTGGGGCCCCTCTTTCAACCATTTAAAATATGTATATATTTGGTCCAACCACCAACATCCAAATGACATTCTACCTAAGGCATAGATATAAAAAGCCACCAGTCATAGAATTTGGTAGGAGAAGAACTGTATTAGCAACCATTTCCCTATTTTTGAGCTATTGGTTTCCAAAAGATTTTGCCCCACTGGCAGAATTTTAAATACTCCAGAGCCATGGAGTGTGGCTTACCGTATACCCTTCAGCACCCTAATTCCCTCAAGCATATTGCCTGCTCTGCACAAGCTCAATGCAATTCAAAGGGTTTTTGCACCAAAGAAAGTTGAGGAGTGGAGCCCACAACGCTCCAATACTTTACAGATAGCTCTATAACACACTCAAGAGAGTTCCTAATGCTGCCAGCGCATTGACTAAAAGAATAAAGAACCACAACCCCTCCCACTTCCCACGCCACAAGTCCTTCATTAAGAATACCTTCATAATTTCACCATCAGTGTACCAACACAATTAATTTAATGGAGAACCCTTCAATTTTCATTAATCGTATCCGTTACAACTACAGCAGCATAATACAAACAAACAAATAAACCAAAAGGTAGAGCAATTATATATCTTTGATACAACAACATTAAAAATATATACCTCAGTTTTAACTGGCTAAAACATATTCTGCAGCTGAAAGAATCAGTAGATCTTTAGAACATTTACTTTTTAGAGAAACAGAGCAAAGTCAATGGACCTTCCTGGGATCACTCTGCCATAGGAGTTCTTCAGTCTTCCATAAACGACACATTTAAGAACATTAAACCACAGAACAACTAAGAAGAGATACTGAACCTGAGTAAAACTCTATGGAAATAGAGGCAAGCGTTCATTCAGTAAATCAAATATTGCACTTTTAAATAAATCCTTATTACATACGAGAACATAAAAATTTCAACCTGGATAGGGTGGGTCCTTCATTCCCCCCTCCCCTTCCCACCGACAGAGACACAAACTACAACACCAACACACAAAGAAAAGAAGTTAAAGCTCAGATTGAGACATAGCCCTCCTCTTCCGTGAATGACACCACTAAAGGCCATCCCTTAAGACCAACTGAGGAGATAAGCTATCAAGTGATAACCGCAACATTTGGATTAACTGCTAACTAGACAGTGGGCACTCAATGAGTTCCCAGTAAGATGGGTTGTAACTACACGGAGAAGCAGCTGCCTCCCTCCTATCTACACATGTTGAAGGCAGCACCACTACTCTCCTGAAACTGCTGTGAAACCTGAGGGCCTGTGTGGTAATGCTGGATTTAGTGGACCTGACACACAACTGCCTCTTCACGCAGCTCAGTCCGCCCTGTCAAGTGTTTATGTAGCCAGTGTGTACTTTAACAATTCTGCTTCCACAACACATTGATGGGCTTTGTATTTACATGATTGAAAGCTAGGCAAAACATCTCCTATGTTCAATATTTGCTTTGAAATTAGCATATCCCACAAAACTAATTGGGGGGGAATACTCATATTGAAGATTTGCTATTTATTTTTTTACATGCTTGATGTCCTTTTGTTCCACTGGCAGTTGCCACTTCATTTCTTCCCCATTTTCCTTCACTTTGCCCTCACTGACCTCAGCCACCTTTCTTCTCACTCATGTTTAGATTGGTTTAGGGAGTCACATGTTTACAGGCATGTCAGAAGCAGAATCGTGACATCAGACAATGACATCTTCAGCTCACCAGATTCATTGGCAGTGAGTGAAAATGGGGCTATGGACAGTGAGGTGAAGGAAAAGGAAGTTTCGGGCACAAAGGCACAAATGGGTTCTGAAGAGCACTGAAAGTGCGTGAATATACTTACAACTGATATTAACAGATTTTAGAAGTGGGAAGTACTAATCTCGATGGATGAATACAAAGCTAAACAAGTTTCAGCTAAACCATATAAGAAGGCTCCATTCCACAGTTTAATACAGTTTTATACAGCCAAGGTGTCACACGATTGCTCCAGTCCTCACACAATCAAGTGAATTACCTCTAGGGAAAAGTCTCTGCAGACTGCAGTAAAATACAAAGAAAGGGTTGCCACCTCCATGAAGGAAGAATCAACAAAGCTATTCCAAATGAGAATTGATATTGATATTATTTAAATGTTATATTTCAACCGAGAATTTCAATACAAAAATATAGGACTCTGATCATTTTGTCTATAGCAAAACAGCTAGAAAAAGGCACAAGTACATAATAAAATATCCTATTTGCTAATTTTTTGTGTTCCCGTTTTAAATAAAACAAAAAGAACTTGAGTAGTCACTGATAACGTAGGTTTCTATTGGCGAAAAGCCAATGTACATACAAACATCTCTGGAACAGTGACCCTCAAACCTGATTTTAAGTATCTGTGTCATTTATTATTTCTGAAGTTCAAAAAGGGATCCCATCCCGTCATTTATTCAGTGATAATACACCAATCATGTGATGCTTCTTCACCTTCTTCAAATCCATCTGTAAAATACAGTGTATTTTCCCTTTAACACTATTGTAGAAACTACAGTTCCCATTGGCATTTTAAAAAATGTGTACATCTTCAGTTATTCTTTTTTAAAAAGTGGAAAAAGTCTCTGTATAGAAATACATACAAAAACAGTGCATATTTCCTCACTTATGTAAAAGGCAGAAGTAGGAGGCTTGTCATTCCCTTGCAGTTATGCATGGTAGCCATTTGCCTTCCCAATATGTGGCAACGGTGTGAAGTTCTCATAGATTGCCATGGCATTTGTGTTTTGATAGATAAGGTCTGTTTTCTTATCTTTCTGGGATTTGATAATGTCCAAAACACACTGGTTTAGGAAGACATACTGGTCCTAAAGGAGAGAGATAATAACAATAACATTAATAATGAACATGTAGCATAGATTTCATATGATGAATCATTTTTAAGAGAGATTATGCCCATTACTGCAGTTAACAACTGCAATGCATCCATACATCTTGGGCTTCTCCACTGCCATTTCATTATATGAAAGAAAAGGGGGGAAATCTTGCAGTTTTAAAACATCGGCCTCTTCCTGCCCATATAGGAAGTGACTGCAAGAAAGGGATTTCTTTTTTTTCAGCATTCAAAAGAAATCAACAACAGTGGCCCTCAAGGTGAGCAATAGGAACAGAAACTGAAATAACGGTGCAGAGTTAATTGTTCAGAAATTTAGGTCTGGTGTCTGCAGTTGCATCTCCAGGTTATCAAAAGAAATATTAAATCAACTGGAACAATGCTGAATGCTGGTGACAATATTACTTGCTATGCCATGTGTAGGTCATTGATTTATGTGCTTAGAATAGCATCCTGCCCATACCTCTGTTTGCACCATTAAAGACCGATGCATTCGAAGCTCATATACAGCACCGTACACATCAACAGTGTTCTCCATCTCCATTTGATGGATCAAATGGTCAATTGCAATGAATGTCCCCGTCCTTCCGACACCAGCACTGTAAGAAAAAACAATTGCGTATGTATTTAATGGCTTCGTGCTTGCCTTCAGTTAAGCCCTAAATCCTTGCTTATATCTCGGTTTAAGGATCACTTAACACAGCATAATTATCTTCCTTCTGTGAAAGAAAGGAAAAAAAGACACACACAATCTATTCTGCTGCTCTTAATACTCTCGGTGGATGCCTTTTCCTCCACAGAAGTGATGCACAGGTAGAGAGAAATAACCTGTCAAGTGGCCCTAGGGCCTATTGACACCACGGTCCCAAGAGATGGAGCCCATTGCAAAAGCTGTTTGTTTGTCTAAGGCAGGGATGAGGAAACCTATGTCTTTCCAGATGTTGTTGGGCTTTTACTCCCATGAGACCCAGCCAGCAAGGCCAACAGCCAGGGGAAAGGAGAGCTGTAGTTCTGCAACATCTGGAGGACCACAGGTTTACAGTGTACATCTATTAAAAAAGAGACTGAGGAGGCCTTGCCTCTTGCTTTTCTGACAACTGGGCAGAAAGCAAAATAATGATCCGGTCCCTGCCCTCACTCCATTTAGTTGGATGCCTCTACATGAAGTAACTCTGAATATGCAAAGAGTGAGGTAAAGTCATCTCGCTAGTGCTAAGATTGTGCCCAGGAAATGGCCTGGAAGAATCAGGTGCTGTATGTGTTCACCTATGGGACACGGATGGTGCTGTGGTCTAAACCACTGAGCCTCTTGGACTTGTCGATCAGAAGGTCAGTGGTTCGAATCCCCGCGACACCCCATTGCTCTCAGTCCCAGCTCCTGCCAACCTAGCAATTTGAAAGCATGCCAGTGCAAGTAGATAAATAGGTACCACTGTGGTAGAAAAGTAAACAGTGTTTCTGTGTGGTCTAGTTTCTGTCACGGTGTTCTGTTGTACCAGAAGCGGTTTAGTCATGCTGGCCACATGACCCGGAAAGCTGTCTGTGGACAAACACTGGCTCCCTCGGCCTGAAAGCGAGATGAGCGCCGCAACCCCATAGTCGCTTTTGACTGGACTTAACCGTCCAGGGGTCCTTTACCTTTACCATTGTTCACCTGAAAATCAGTGACTTTATGGAAAACCAGTGACTTTATGGCAATAGAAACAAGAATACCCAACTTTGCATGTGTTAAGGTCCTGTGAGTTCACATCCCTTTATAGTTACATAAGAAGTGGCACTGAAATATTCCCACCCCAGCCCCCGCACTTCCACACAAACATAACTGTATACAGGATACCACTTAGACTTGGGAGTCTCGTCTCCCCTTCCAGAAAGTAATATTTGTACCTGCAGTGCACTAAGGTAGGAGAACTTGGAGGGTTCTGCTTCATGTATTCCTGTACTAAGTGCCTGAAGTTAATGAGGAGGTTGGTTGTTTCCGGGACACCGTGATCTGGCCAGGCTGTGAAGTGGAACTGTCGCACGGGGTGACTTTCAGATGAATCACTCTTAGAAATGAAAATAGAGGAACAGGAGTAGTCGTTAGGGTTCGGAAGAATGGTGTCACAAAGTATTTTATAATAATAAAAAAATTAAGCCTGTAAGCCGCTTCCTGGCAATTCTGCAGTGCCTGGCACAGGAAAACGTGAGCCATGAGAATGGCTTGGTGGAATGGGGTGGGGGGGGAGCAGGCAGGTTAAAGCTAAGTGGAAGGCTTGGGGCCCAAGGACAGCTGTGGAAGAAGAGACAGTGACACGTTGCTCAGGGCGAACAGTGTCAGGGGAGGAAGAAACAAATGTTTAAAAGTTTATGAGACTCAGACCAAGTGCCAAATACATTTCATTGAGCAAACTCATATTTCTATCCTCTGAGTGCTTGACCTAAGACCTGGGTTCAGTACACCTTCTGGAATTGCTGCAAGCTGAGTGTATTTTTGATGGTTTCAAATAGCTTGGATAATCAGGGAAGTGAAATTTTTATACAGTGGTACCTCGGGTTACAGACACTTCAGGTTACAGACTCCACTAACCCAGAAATAGTACCTCGGGTTAAGAACTTTGCTTCAGGATGAGAACAGAAATCGTGCTCCGGCAGCACGGCGGCAGCAGGAGGCCCCATTAGCTAAAGTGGTGCTTCAGGTTAAGAACAGTTTCAGGTTAAGAACGGACCCCCAGAATGAATTAAGTTCTTAACCCAAGGTACCATTATATCTAGCTTGACTATTTTCACTAGTGATGGAGTAGATCACACGCAATGCATTTTGGGATTGGGTGGGTTTTTTTGGGAAGGGAAATTTGGAGGTTGAGGGCTGTGAAATATTGCTAAGGGAGCAACAAGACCTCTAGGCCAATTTGGTCCTCTTGGTAGACTGGGCCTGCCACAAACACCTCCCTGGATGACTATGGGGGAACAGCATGGTTTCAGAGAACTTATTCACATGGGAAAGGTGTGTCAAATATAGAGACTCTGAGGCTCTACTTTGCTCCTAGTGATGAATGAGATTTAGGAGCCTCGTCAATCTGAAAATTATCAATTTTCCCAATTACGATGTTTCCCAATTACCCAGTGTTTAATTTCAGGGTCTCAGCAGATGTCTTCTTCCTTAACCCATTCAAATTCCTACTCTACAATTATATGATTCTATGAAAAGTTTCACACTTGAGTGGAGTAGATTCTGCGCATCTCTAAAATTCAGAGTTAGAAACACTTTTATTGTGAGCTCGTTTTGTTGCCTGTTCCAAATCTGAAACGAGGTGTAAATTAACCTAAAATAAATAAGTTTAATAGCAGGTAACAAATCACACTGAAAAGGTAGGTCACGTGTCGAATCCAGAGCCCTTGTTTCTCCTGTGAAAAATCTCTGCTGCCCCTATCTAGTTGTTTTTCCAAAATCAGAATAATAAGGCCAACAGAAGTTTCTAAAACCAGTCATAAACCATGCCCCAGTCATATCAGTGCCCAAAGGTTTCTGTAGTGACAAGGAGAACAGATAAGACAGCAGAACTCCTTCTCAGAACCCCCTATCTCTGGAGTCTCTGACAAGGAAATGTGATGTGCCCTATGGCTGCTGGGACCCCATAGGATTGCAGCCTAAGTGATACGTCATCAATCCAGAGTATAAGCAAAACACACACACACACAGAGCGCAAACAACTCACCTTTTCCATGGAGAAATCTCGTATTGTCCACTCTGGAAGGGGAATTTCTGAAGTCATGGCTACTGTTATGTCTCCATAGCTTTTGGATTGTTTATTTGGCCAATATTCCTCACATTTTGTCTAGAAATATAAATTATAAGTCAACTTATATGATAGGTCCACAAAAGTAAAAGGAATGTAAGAAAAGTAAGGGGTGGGGACACTGGCTTTCGGACCAGATGGGGGTGGGGGTGGGATAGCGTACCTGGGACCAGTAAAGATGCCCCCCCCATTGTTCTCCTCTCCTGTTGAGTTACGTAATTATTTAGAAGTCAATGCATTTGCAGGCCAGTGCCCTTTTCCCGTCTAAAAGGTTCTTGTAGGGACTTGCATAAGAGTATCAAACACAGTTCTTAACTCAGAAGGCTTTTCTGCTGCAAAGTGGTTTGGGGCGGGTATTATTATTAATAATACCCCACCCATCAGGCTGGGTTTCCCCGGCCACTCTGGGCAGCTCCCAACAGAATATTAAAAACACCAAACAAATCAGGAGCAAAATAAGAGCTGGGCTGGAAGAGGGTGCTGAATCCTTCCACTTATCCCTTATTATCCACTGCAGCACCATATTGCCTAGGTAGCCTGCTTCCCACTACCACCACCAGCAAGCATCTTGGGCTTCAAAGCAACCCCAGAGGTCTTGCAGCGTATCTGCTGGGTGGAAGCCTAAGCACGGCAGTAGCTGAGGAACATTCTTCTGTCGCTCACGATGTTGCAGTCCCAAATCCAGAATAAGAAGCTGTTATCGTTCCGCTTTACTGTAGTGCTACACAAAAAACTTGGGACGCGGGTGGCGCTGTGGGTTAAACCACAGAGCCTAGGACTTGCCGATCAGAAGGTTGGCAGTTCAAATCCCCGCGACAGGGTGAGCTCCCTTTGCTCGGTCCCAGCTCTTGCCAACCTAGCCGTTCGAAAGCACAAAAAGCGCAAGTAGATAAATAGGTACCGCTCCAGCGGGAAGGTAAACGGCGTTTCCGTGCGCTGCTCTGGTTCACCAGAAGCGGCTTAGTCATGCTGGCCACATGACCCGGAAGATGTACGCCGGCACCCTTGGCCAATAAAGCGAGATGAGCGCCGCAACCCCAGAGTCGGCCCCGACTGGACCTAATGGTCAGGGGTCCCTTTACCTTTACCTTACACAAAAAACTTAGGGCAATACAAAACCAGGACAATGTGGGGCATCTTTATCCTCTGCCTCTGGATTCAACAACTTTATTACTGATCACAGGGTACATCTGTTAAGGCATCAATCTTAGCTTCCAATTTCCCAGGTTGTGGTCTTAAACTGGTAGTGTTTTTTTTTTATCATTGAATTAATTTTTTTAGAATCGTTGAGCTGGAAAATTTGTGGCGGTTGTGGTGCACGGCAACATTTTGTAGCATGTTTTGGAACTTTAACGAAAACTCACCCTGCCTTGTTCAATACATTTAGTCAGCATAACAACGGTATAAATTTTCTTCTCCCAGATCATGCGCCAGAAGTCTTGCACCGTATTGGGCAAAGGGCCTTGTGCAGCGATGAACTCTTTCTTGGAGTTGTAACCCTGCAATCAAAGTATGGTCTGAATACCACTTTTCTTATTTATAAATCTGTCATTAAAACACTATGGGGTTTTTTTAAATAGGCTGGGAACACTTACCGGCATATAGTTTGCATTAATGTAATCATTGGTTGGATGTTCATGGATCTGAAGTCTGACACGAGAAATATCATCTGCAAAAAAATTATTTATTAATTATTATTATTATTATTGTTGTTGTTATTATTATTATTATTAAAAGGATGTGTCAATATATTTTCCTTTTTCCACAGCACATACCACATAAAATGAATTAAGCCACTAAATAAAGAAAACACTATGAACCAGATGAAAGAATATAGGTGGTGTAGTAATTAGGATTAAAAGTAGCGTTAGAGTCTGATCCTAGCCCACTTATCTTTGCTGATAGGGGTGGAGGGGGAGAAGGGATTCTAGCACAGTGATGGTGCCAGGTCAGTTTTTAGTAGCAGTAGGGATGAAGAACTTACATGGCAGGACATTGTTATATCTATTTTTTGCTTTGTTCTCTTGTAGTTCAGCTGCAAATCTGGGCTGATTTGTACCAACAGGCCTGAGCTCCTGCAGCAAATAGAGAAGGAATTTAGGATTATTTTACCTCATGGCATGCAAATAGTTCTTCAACACTTGGCCATATGACATCCAATATCACTGAAATTTGGGGGAAGGTAATTCCTAATTGTTAGGTTTGCTTATTGTTTCCCATTGCATATGGCTTTTTCACAGTTGAATTTTGGCTCTTTAAATAATGAAATCCACCTCAAAACATGAATTTCAGATTTTGCAGGGACTCAAGTCCTATTGCACCTTCCTTTTTCAACTGTTCAGAGAAGACGGGGCAGTCTTAATCTTTCAGCTGTGCAGAAGGAAGCATGTGTTGTTGTCATTATTTAATTTATTACCTGCCCTTCACCCTAAGGTGGGTTACAACACAAGAGCTACGTAGCTGAGCTCTTATGTGGAAGAATGTAAACATTACAACGACAGAGAAAAAGCTGAGAACATTTCAGATGCATACCTCATACTCTTCTGCAAATCCACAGTTTGAGTCAGCTTTCTGTTTCTTAAAATGAGACTCAAAGTCTTCCACTTTAAATAACTTCGATCTGAAAGAAACAAGAAACAACCACCTTGTAGCAGTCGACATTATCTAGGACACACATATTTTGCTAAAAACTCAATTTCTGGAGCAGCTGCCAGGGAGAGGTGGCGGTGCACACATGGTCTCCTGAAGACGGTGGCAGCAGTGCTGGAATGTCCCCAGAGCCACCCAGGCACATTTAGTTGCCCTGTTACTTTCATAGGGGCAGTACCTGAAATATGCCATCCATTGTTTTGGGCCTAGCACAGACTCTTGACTAGAAAAGGGTCATAGCCCAGTAGGGACTAGAGGTTTTATTTCAGGAATAGCTGGTGTAGAGGGGTGGCTGGGTTTACACCAGGCCTCCTGACATCAGCGTTGCTGCCACTTACTAAGAAGTAGAGGGAGGGGGGAAGGTGTGGTGGTGGGGAGGTCAGCATTGTGCAGGTACCCCAGCAGAGTCAGTCCAACACAACTGTAAACCTTGCAGCTGCCTCCAACCTCTTTTCCCTGGTAAGTGGCAGTCATGCTGCCACCAGGAGGCCAAGGTACAAGCTGCCACCTTTCCCCGCTGACTGCTCTCGACTTATTTGTGCCATGAATTTTCACAGGCAGCAATCTGGCCCCTACACCAAGGGCATGCTGGAGTCCAACAAGGTGAGAATTAGGGACAACAGAAACTGAGAAATTCCAAATCCATATTTTGACAGCTGAAGTGCTGAGTGTACACAACATAACACGTTTGCTTAGGAAATAAAGCACTAAGCATTTTCTGAGAAGCTGAACAGAAATAAAGCATAATCAAATGAGAGACATGAATTCAAGCACTATTTCTATTATTCATCTAGAGTATAGTAAATTATTTGCTTACTTTCTCGGTCTGCAGAGGAAGACGGAAAGGAAGAGAGAAAAATTGCACACATTAGTTACAGCCTTTATTAACTGAGCAGAACAATTTTATACATAATACTTGGAATCTAGTATTACATAAACTACAAATTCCCTGCTGTGATACAAGAATGCCCAATTAAATTTTGGAGCAAAAAGATAGCTTTAAAAATTGATCTTCTTTATAGTCTAAGCTATGCTCCTGCCATTTCCAATTATTTAGTTGCATCTATTTCTCCTGACTCCTTCAAATTGATTCATCCGGAAGGATAAGAAAAAGCAACCCAGTAGTTACTACACATAGCTTGGGGGTACTCCTGGATCCTTTGCTGTTGCTTGAGGCTCGGATGGCCTTGGAGTGCCTTCCATCAGCTTGGGCTGGTGGCCCAGCTGTGCCCCTACCTGGACAGGTATAACCCTACTCCCCTGCGCACACACAATGCACAATCTATCTTAGAGCCATAGAAACTAGGTTGAATTTAATACTGGTGAAACAGGGCACCCCACACCTAACCACCAAGGAAGAAAGGTAGCGTTGTAGCAGAGACCTTTGAATGTTATTTAGTATCTTTACACAGGCATTCTGACACATTATTACACCAATTAATCATAACATAGAGTTAGGTTATTAGGACCTCAATGACCCAAAATACTTTTAAAGCACTCTAAGTATTATCTCCCCCACCACTTTAAAACAAAGCCAATTCTGATTGATCCTCAGTATATTCTAAAGAGAAGATAGTAATAGTCAACTCACTCTAATTGGGTAAATGGCACCTGGTTGTTTTTTCCACCTTTCCTGTAGAATTGTAGATTTTGAAAAAGGGTTAGTTGCATTTTTCACTCTTGGAAAAACTGAAATAAAAAATACAAAGCTTTCCGCAACTACTGGTTTGGCTAAAATGCCAACATCAGGCCACAAACTATGCCTTCCATTAAGCAACAAATATAGGATTGGAAAGCACTGGTGTCCATGTGGCCCAACCCATTTGCCACAAGGCACGGCTCTCCCCAAAGATGAACTGACACACTGCAGATGGGGGGCGGAGAAAGGGGGTGCGGTGGGTGTGGGTCACCCCGGGTGTCACCACTGAGGGGGGTGACAAAATGCCAGGTGGCACTCTCCGCGGGGCCTGCAGCACGCCTGAGCCATGTGTCTCTCCTGGGAGAGACACAGTAGCTTGGGTGCCCGCAGGCTCCACACTGCCCAAGCGTTCCACCCGCTGCCTCCTCCCCAACTGTAGGGCAGCTGAGTGGGAAGAGGCAGGCAGACTCCAGAGGCCCCATGGTGTGCCCCGCCCCTATGGGCAGCTCGCCCCGCCCCTGGGTGCGCCGTCCCAGGCACCCGAGCGGCTTCCTCCGCCGCTGATTGCAGATTACACAGCATTCTATGAAGAACAGTCTGCAGAGCAACAGATCCAGAGCCTTTGAGGAAGTAAACCATCCAAGCTGCACATGAAGACCAAAAAGAAACCACTACCCAGGGTCACAAGCCCAGTCTCATCAGGGAGGAATTTCTTCTAGACCAACTTTATGGCAATCAGGCACTGAGAGTGAACAAAATCCACCCACAGAGCCTTCCCAAGAGAAAAAAAATAGTATCAGCAGGGCATCACTTCTGATAAAATGTCAACTCCCTTCAAGAGCACTGTATCAGGTGGGTATCCCTGGAATAGTCAGCTGTGGCCATGGGGAACTCAGAGAATAAAGACTAAGAAAAGAGGTAAAGCGACTTTAATTATTTTTAAAGACCAACCATTGCTGACCAAAGTTTGGCAGGACTTTCTGTATTTGGACTAAGCTGGTTCATTAAGGAGAACCTATTTCTTACCTGCAGAGTTATTGTACCCTGATAAAAAATAATTAAGGCCCCCTGACCTTCCTAAGACAGACAGCCTGAAGATGGTTTGAATGCATGGTAGAAATAGAGCCCAAGCATTCCAAATACGTGAAAGAGAAGCAGCAGAGACCTGCATCATGAAGTGTTATGCACAACTACATCCTTGTAAAGAATTATGCAGTAGCTAATATACCTTCTCTTTTTCCAGAAGATGAAAAAACCAATCCCTGCAGCAATAACAGCAGCAGCCAGAATGCATCCCACAACAGCTCCTGTGATGACATCTGGAAAAGAAACAAATGATTTTAACTCCTTTACAAGTCATAATGACAAGGCGAAAAAACAACCACCACAAGGTTTTAACAAGGGCCCTTCAAGTGTACTCTCAGCAATCACTAGCTTTTGTTGCCCTAGCAAGGCAGAAGCTCACAGTTTCTATTCAGCACTGAGATTTTATTCGGTAAAATTATTGGGAAGGGTAACGATTCAGTGAGATATTTGAATCTCCCATTATCCAAACAAGCTAAAATGAGCAGACATTGCTAGCTGAACTCTCAGGAAGCAAAGGGTCGTTCAGTGCAATTCAGTGGTGTCTCAACAAATCAGAGTTTAGGTCTGACCCCTGTTACACGCATCAGACCTGGTTCACTTGACATAGTAAGCCAACTGTGTGGGCTCCCAGAGAGGAGCTTGCAGCTGCTTTGCTCCTTCCTCAGTCCTTTTAACTGCGGTGCTGCACTGAGCTCAGCCAAGGCAGGATAGCTCAGCCTGTAAAAGCATGAGACTCTTAACCTCAGGGTCATGGGTTCAAGCCCCGTGTTGGGCAAAAGATTCCTGCATTGCAGGGGGTTGGACTAGATGACCCTCATGGTCCCTTCCAACTCCACAATTCTATTATTCTAAGGTTCTTCTTACTGTGTCCTCTGAACCAGGACTTATGGTTAAGGCTTTGCCCCTACTGACCATGAGCTAGCCACTGGAAAATTCCCATAAGGTGAACTGGAGTCTGCTCCACGGCACATCTGACTCAACTACAAGCCACAAAGCAGATGAAAGTCTCAAGAGCAAAGAAAATCCAATAGCTAGTACTAGGACCTTATGCCCAATCCTGTGTGTAGTTCACACAAGACATCAGGTGGTAAGGGAGGTCAGGCTGTTAGATACATGCAGGATTCCATGTTTAAGTGGGATTCACAAGAAAAAAATGGTACACTGTGGGATTTTTCTGTTCAGTATTCTGCGACACTCCATTCTCTCCCCCTTTTTCCTCCCAGCGCTCCACTGCAATCCCAATAGTACATTTGCATTCTACAGTTGCCAAGCATACTTGGTCCTCACTGTGGGGTTTGCATTTCTAAATTTTATTTTATTCTACAAACCTTGGAGTTCTGCTACTACTAATTTTAATAAACCTACCATATAAGATTGATGCCTGTCTTCTTGGGTACTGAGTCTAGTTCCTAATCTCTTGGTCACTTGCTACTGAGTAAGTGTTTAACCTGAGACTCTGGAAACAGAGGGTCTGGCCTTTAGCTTTTGCTTCCCTAGAATTTTAGGGGTGCCCAGTAATGTCTGGGAATTCCAGGTTGTTTGGACTTAAGGAGTGGTGGCAACGTACTACCCCACAGGGTTGGTTTTATATACTCTGCTCATTAGACACGATCTGAAACACAAAGGTCTAAGGCTACGCTTTGGCAAGGAGGGGAACAGAACTGGGTTCTCCTTTGGGGAAGGTTCTCAGGCAGGGTGGAAGGAGAAAGAACTTGCCCATGTGAAGACCACCTGGTGGAAACCCTTACACACATGGTTCTTAATTGTAAACTATATGCTGATCTCCGTAAGCAATTTCTAGATCAACTCTGTATCCCCAAATGGAAACCGGAGTTGGAGATCATACATTTTCTATTACTGGGGAATGATCAGGAGCTCACCAAGTTAGTGGCTAAATATATCTATTTGTTTTTTTGTCGTCGAAATACACTGCAGACATCTGATCTCCCTGGAGACCTAGAGATGTGACGATAGACTGCTCTGCCTCCTTCCTTTTAGCAAATGTTTTTTGCCACTGGGGAAGTGGTAATTGTGTATTGATTTGTTTTGTATGTTTGGATGTGATGCCAATAAAAGGTTTGATGATGATGAAATAAATGTACCTGGATCTTGAGGTAAGACAACAGCCTTTGAAATTTTTGAAAACGAGACATAACTCTCCTTTTCGTCAATGGTGTCATTCAAATAGTCAATGCGAGTAAAACCAGCAACATATACCCTAATGCAAGGCAGAGGAGGAAAAAAAATGGGATTTGAAATCAGAGTTTGATTTTTAAAGAAAAAGTGTGTGTTACTCATTTATTATGTTTTAGTCATCAACACGACTCAGGGAAATGGAGTTAGAAATAGAATTAAAATACCTGTATGAATTAAGTGGGATTAACTTCCCACTGACATAACCATGTGTTACGGATCCGTCTCCTATTACAATAGTATGCTGTTCACTGTTGGAGGGGGAAGAGGAACGCATTTGCTCATCTTTGACATATGCAACGTAAGCATCTGCTCCCCGTTTCATGAAATCATCATAGGTATATTTCAAGGCCTCTGCAGAGACTACATCTGTATGGGGGTAAAAATGAGAATACATCGTCATGTACCTTAATTATCAAGAAAATATAAAATGATAGATTTTTAGATACTCATAGAGTTCAATAGCAGTAAAATATCCAACAGCTACTTCAATATTGTCCAAAATCAAAATATTAAGTTAAAAAAAGAAGTAAACCCATAAGTTACATGGGGGTTACATTCTGGGGATTGAGCCTAAAGCCAAAATCGTGTATAGTCAAAACACATTGCGTTCAAGTTCCTATCTTGGTTGATATAATAGCTTTGATCCATACCATGCTGACAGGTGCTCTATAGCAATATAAACATGAAACAAAGTGGGATACAAAACTTGGTTTTGCTGAGGAATCAATACAATCTTGATTGCACCCCAAAAATGTTGACATTTCCTTCACCGTTGCCAGAAACAATCAGATCTAATCATTGCAATACTGCAGGTATCAACTCTAAATGCAGTCTCAGAATTTTACTTCTACTTTTTTAAAAACAAAAGAGAAAGTATGGAACAGAGCTTCTTACATAAAGACAGATTTTTTAAAATAAATGATAAAATGGCTGTACTGGCCATGCATTTTGTTTTTGTTTTACCTTTTCGTGTGACGATTACTGCATATGCTACTAAAGGTCCATGGCTTGCATTAAAACTACTGAACCGAACTGTCAAGGAGTTGTGAGTGGTTCCCACAATGGCAGGGGCTGTAAGTGGAGATGGGGGGTCTGGAAAGCAAATATTTATTAACTGAAAACATTTATAAACTGTTTAATATTTTAAAAGTCTCAAAGCAGTGTACAACATAAAACCAGTAAACAGAAAACAGAAAATCAAAAATACAACGTAAAACCTGTAAACCACTAGTATAAAGCATATAAAAACAAATAAAACAAATATGGAATGTAGGGGAAACAATTTTTGTATATCAAATCTCTTTCTGCAGCACTACAAAGGAACACAACGGCCTGTTTGCAAAGAATAGCCTAGTTCTTGATTATCTGTATAGCACATTAGCTATGTTGAGATTTGTTGAAATGATTTCTGTACTCTACAACTCTTAAAAGTGCAAGTTACCACCTGGAGTCACCCACTTCATTCAGAAGCTCCAAATGCCACTACACATTGCAACTGCATCGTGCATGAAGCCACCACATGGATGTTCCTTGCAGTGGTTTACATACATGGCAAACAACAAAGGATCAAGCAGCAAACGTTGTTGTGAAAGCTTTAAGGCCCTCTATTCCAAGTCAAACTGTAAGAGACTTTTCTTGGTGGCTGCCCCACAACTGTGCAACTTCCTTTGCATGGAGCTTCACAAAAGCTTAATATTTTCTGAAAGCACTGTAAGATGTTCCTATTTGGACTGGCATCTTCTACGCTGTATATACTAATGGTATTCTGTTTTATTTTAGTTTTAGTTTTGGTATCCCCCCCCAACAGACACAATTGCAATAAAAACAAGGGACAAAAGGGTTAAAGATAATAAGATATGAACTCTCCAGCTGTGAGGTTTTCCTTTAGCAAAAAAATGGAAAGACTCTTTTTTCTCAAATAAGTGGTCATAAAACTATTTCTAAACTTTTAAACAACCACACACTCACATCTATCTCTGTTGACGAACACACACCTTTTCACTGGGCCTAAAATTTGCGATGCGATATAATTATTTTATGTAATGCCAATAGCTATCTAGTTCAGAAACCCATTTCCATTATGCATTCCTTGCCAACAACCCCAAATAAAGCAACTATATGCTTACCGCCAATACTTGTGGGACATATTTTTTCCTGAGGATGACTATCTTTCCCACACGAATGTGTGACAATTCTAACAGTGTAGTTGGTATAGTAGTTCAAATCTGTTACTGTGGTATGGTTTTCCAATATATTTTTACTGCCCCAAGTACTATTTAAGACGTCAACTCCAAAGTCAGCAAACCTCCCCTTTGGATTAGACCAGTTTAGAATCAATTTTGGCTGCTTGGCGACTTGCATGCAGTTCAACACCTCCACTCTTGCAGCATCTACAACAAAGAAAGCAGGCTAGTCACACAGGGTATTTAATAAACACACATAACACTTGAATGAAAAAGGCAGTGGGCAGAACAGAGCCAAATCTCTTAATTTCTCCTGCAAGGTTTGTTCCCTACTTTGTCTCTTTACAATACAGTAGTCCCATTGTTCTCAAACGGAATCCGTTCCGGAAGTCCATTCAACTTCCGAAACGTTCGAAAACCAAGGTGTGGCTTGTGATTGGCTGTAGGAGCTTCCTGCACTCAAGCGGAAGCTGCATCGGACATTCAGCTTCCGAAAAACATTCGAAAACCGGAACACTTACTTCCGGGTTTTCGGCGTTCGGAAGCCAATTTGTTCGTCAACTGAGGCATTAGAGAACCAAGGTTCACTGTATGCATTTCAGTTTGTTCATAATAGGAGACAAGACACACCACAACAAAGAGGGCACAAGGAGAAATGGCATATCAAATTTGGATCATGTATAACAGGCATGTCCAACTCCCAAGAGACTGCAATCTACTCCCACTATAAAAATAGTGCCAGTGATACACCCATTGGATTGACCAAAGTTTTTGAGCTTTTGTTTTGGGGAGGAGGGGCGATCGACCAGGGACACCTCACAATCAACTGGTAGATCACAATTGACCTGCTGGACATGCCTAATATATAACATTCATCTGGCCAGGAGAAAATGTGTTAAACAAAAAAAGGGGGCTGGTCTTGCAATTAACTGCTGCATAAGAGCTAACAGAAGGCATTGCGTGGGGCTTCTGTGCAAGACCACACGGCAAGAGACTGCATACACCTTGTGCAAACGGAAGCACAAGGATTGCAGTTCTTGTATCTTATGCAAGAGATAAAACACTCAATTAGAAAAGGCCTTTTTGCACACCAAAGAGGTTTTTCTGTTTGCATCAAATCCTTTATTTATCACCAGGAACTGAAAAGAAGATTAATTGTTTCAAACACTGCCTCTAACAGCGCAGTCCTAACTATGTCTTTTCAGACGCAAGTCTTGTTGAATTCAACGGAACTTGCTGCTAAGTAAGCAGGGTTAGGGTTGGAATCTAAGAATGGTTATTCTTAGTTTGCATATACAGGTGGACGTATTTTCTTCAGGCATTCTTCACTCCATAGTCTGGCTAGATGTCACCAAATGCTGTTGACATGAAGTGGGGGTATTTTTTCCTTTGTTCATTTGCCTTTTACACATACCCAGGGACAGAGAAGCAAAATAAGTAAGATTTAAAATATGGTAGCCTAATAAAACACCTTTCCTCAAAAAAGACATGAAGTCTGCTCTGCTTTTGTTCGCTTCACCCCCTGTCCCATTTCTGCAGACATCACCTTATTTGCTTAAGCATATAAAGGAGAAGATTCTGCCCTTCTGCCATTTAACAGACTTACCTGTACAGTTATTTATGCTGCCTGGTCTCCCTTCAGTTTGATTATACCCTGCTACTGAATAAATGCTGAATGTATAATTGGTCCCAGGAGTTAGCTCTGAAATTTCAGCACTCGTAGTTGGGAATATCTTGTCCTCAGTGGCTTCACCACCAATCTGTATCCTGTAGGTGTACTCTGAAGAAGCTGCATCAAGATTTTCCCATGTTAAGTTGACCGTTGTTATACTGACATCTGTAACTCTGATGCTGGTGACTGAGTTAGGAGCTGTCAAGGGGAAAAAGGCTTTTAAATATATATATATAAGCTGAACTGTGTTCCAAATTAGCATCATAACCTCCAAAAGATTTTCTTTTGTTATTATAAGGCGTGCATGTGCATACGCGCGCACACACACACACACACACACACTAAATTATTCAACTCTCTCATGGAAACGTATTTTTAATACTTATTGTTAGCACTTTAAGGAACACTTTCAATTGCTTTTTAGCTACTTACCTGTGTACCTGTGTGTGGTTTGTGGGTCCCCTTTGGTGAGGTTGTCTGCTGCTTGTGGAAATACACTAAAGCGATAGAGGGTGCCTGGTAAAAGTCCTAGAATGGTAACGTTCTTGTATCGTGATGTCACATTCATTTCCACTTGGTTTTGTTGATACAATACTATGTAAGTGTACCCTGAAGAAGCAGCATCGTTGTCTTCCCATCTTAAGGTTACATTCATTGTGTCAATATCAACAACATCTAAGCCAGAGACAGGACTGGGCTCTATATGGGGGGAAAGCAAAAGGAAAGTGAGATCTGAACCATGGGAGGGACAAATAAGGATAAGTACGCTGCCTGAAATCCAGCTGTGCTGTCCTGCTTGCGCAACAGGCCACCCTCTCCTCCCTCTTAAAGCTTCCTATACACTCTCAATCACTTCTGGAGGTTTGGGGGAATCTTTGCAGCAGATCGGAGGCTTCACGGGGCATCAGGGAGAAGGGGAAGGGGAAGATCCATTGTGCCTCCTGTACAACCTCACCATATACTGTATATACATTTTTCCAGGGGGGAAAATGCCTTAAGTGTCCAAGAACACCTTTGTACAGATTCTTCTTAAATTGGGCCAACCTCAAGCTTGTTCTGCTCAAAGACAAAATGTGAATGTACGTAAAGTACCTAAATGGTATAGCAATGAATGTCATTTTGGAAATTGCCCCGTTTTAATTTGCTTACTTATATAAACAGATATATCAGCTTGGTCTTCTTCAGTTTGTTTTTTTAATCAGCTGCTATTGGATATATTTGAATTTGCACCATGTTCCAGATTCCAAGCTACTAATTGCTGCACTGGGGACATCAGAAGCGTCATTCCTGGGAGGACCACTTCCCTTTTATTTGTAATAGGCCTCTAAGGCAAAGGCTAGCCAAAGAGGTGCCCTCCAGAGAATGATGCACTCCAATACCCATCATCCCACCCCCGATAGCTGGGGGTCATGGGAGTTGGGAGCCCAGCAACCTCAGGAAGACCTGGGCATCTGCAGGAATTTTTGGGGGTGGGGAGTGAGTAAATCATTGAAATGGGAAAGCAAGCTAGCTTCTCACAAAAAAAACAGGAAGAATACCGCACCTGTAAACAATATGTAACTGTGGAAAATAAATGGTATTTAACATTAAAACTGTTAATTGTGCATGTCTACCACCATTTTGTCAGCTTCTGATCAAGCACATATTGTGAATATACCTTTATGGTACAGAAATGCAGAGACTGGGAATCTCCCCCTGTTGTAATTTACTTACTGGTATAAACACTTGTAGCATTTGGTTCTCCTTCAATTGTACCAATATCAACTCGAGGGAATATTGTGAATGTATACAATGTTCCAGGTTCCAAGTCCCTAATTTGTGCACTGTTGGTGTCAGAAGTTTCATTCCTGGGAGGATCAGTTCCTTCTATTAGTATCCGATAAGTGTAGTTAGATGCATTTGGATCGCTATTGTTCCACTTCAAAGTTACTGTTGAATTGCTGCGGTTTTCAAGACTGATATCAAAAACCGGGCTGGGTTCTGTTCAAGAAAGAAGAAAAGGGATCTAGCTGTGCCAATAAAATAAAGTTGCATCACAATATTAAAATAGTGATATCAGAAGTCCCTTGAGAAATGTAAAAGGTTACTACATTATGATTGGCTACCATTTTGTTAAGAGTACGGTATAAAACAAAAATTGAAGGATAGGCAGAGGCAGCTAATGTAGAGGTCACACATTCTTTAGTAGATCATCACTTGTCAGAGGAACGTACTTTAGAATCAACTTAAAAATAGTAATTCTGCTTTCCTGGTATAAACTGGAGACTTAAGGCATGCAATTTTTTATTTTAACCACAATGACAACAACCAGTATCTTTAGCGTGTGTAACTATGTAGATGTATTAGCATAACCACCAATAGCCAGGAAACTACAAGGGCAATCATATAATACCTACTCTGCTCAAGTACGTATAATGAATATATAGAATGACCCTTAAGAGAAATCTTAAAACATACAGTGGTACCTCGAGTTAAGAACTTAATTCGTTCTGGAGGTCCGTTCTTAACCTGAAACTGTTCTTAACCTGAAGCACCACTTTAGCTAATGGGGCCTCCTGCTGCCACCGCGCTGCCGCTGCATGATTTCTGTTCTCATCTTGAAGCAAAATTCTTAACCCGAGGTAATATTTCTGGGTTAGCGGAGCCTGTAACCTGAAGTGTATGTAACCTGAGGTACCACTGTACTTGTATCTACGGTTACATTATTTGAGTCTCCTCCAGTTTTACCATTATACTTGTCTACCTCAATCTTGTCATCTCCTGCTTGAGTAAATATTTTGAATGTACAGAATGCATCTTTATGGTAAAGAAATGTAGCAGTCTGAAATGTTTACTAAGTTGTATGAACTTGGACGTACTTGTATAAACACTTGTAGCATTTGGTTCTCCTTCAACTGCACCATTATCGACTTGTGGAAATATTGTGAATGTGTACAATGTTCCAGGTTCCAAGTCCCCAATTTCTGCACTGGTGGTGTCGGAAATTTTATTCCTGGGAGGATCAGTTCCTTCTATTAGTATCCGATAAGTGTAGTTGGAAGCATTTGGGTCGCTATTTTTCCACTTCAAAGTTATTGTTGAACTACTGCGGTTTCCAAGACTGATATCAAAAACTGGGTTGGGCTCTGTTTAAAAAAGAGGAAAAGGATTTTAGCTATGCAAGCAAAGGGAAATATTATGACACTGTTAGATGTGCCAGAGATCTCTTAAACAGGTATAGAGTTTAACTATAATGTAGTAAGCTAATGTTTTGTTGGAATATTAACATTTACATTATAAAAAACAAATACAGAAGGACAGTTTTACTTTTAAGGTACAAAATTTTTAGACGTTTATTTATACAGACTTTTGCTATATCACCACCTCTGCTTTACTTGCTAAATAGAAAACTGTACTACAATCAACTCTATGGTTCGAAGATTCAGTTTAAAATATTAAACTAACATGATAATCACGTTCTTAATACTTGCAATCAATCTTCTAGCAACTGCTGCAAGCACATATTGAATAACACAAAAGGGGCCCTTCCTTCTGCATTGCAGCTTGTCAGGTGTAGGCTACTGTGGTGGTGATTAGAGGCAGGGACCTCTAGGCCCATCGAGTACAGTTGGTAATATTGTGATGGTTCATAATATTGTGAGACGTTTCACAAGACCTTACGAAAGCTCATTTCCTGAGCATTTCCACTCAGACTGAGCCAGACAGGCAACACTTTTGAGTTAGGTGATGCAGCAGGGAAAAGTGAACTCTTGGGTCTTCACGTTTTGTCACTGGGTGCCTCCTTTGACTTGGGGCAGGCACAGGCAATTGGACACTGAAGCACAGGAAAGAGGGTCCTACTTTCCATACCATCACAACAACATACAAAGAGCCTGCTGGATCGGGCCAGTGACCCATCTAGTCCAGCATCCTGTTCTCATGGTGGCCAATCAGATGCCCATGGGGAACCCCAAAAGTAGGACCTCAGAGCAAGAGCACTCTCTTCCAGAAACTGGTATTCAGAAGTATTACTGCGTCCAACTATGGAGGCAGAGAGCATAGCCATCTTGGTTAGTAGCCTTATGCTCCACTTCGTTATGGAGAGTTCTGGTTGATACGCCAGTCCAGTTGTTGGTGTGAGCTAATGGCCTTTGACATCTTCTTGTCCCCCCCCCTTCACTTCTTGCATTGTCTTTGCTTCTGCATTTGGGCAGAAGTTCCTTTTGTGGTTGGGTAGACATTGGGCCCTTCCCTCCTGTGGGAAAGGATGAATCCTCAATTATATACTGGGCCATGTCTCTGGATGGGGCTTTGGCCAGGAAGGGGACTGACCAAGGAAAAATATATTTAGTCTAGCAAAATAATAGGGAAAGGCTATGTTGCGGCTGGCGTTCCTCTTTACGTCTTTATAGTACAGAAACAGGCAGTCTGAAATGTTTACTTACTTGTATGAACTTGGACTTACTTGTATAAACACTTGTAGCATTTGGTTCTCCTTCAACTGCACCATTATTGACTTGTGGGAATATTGTGAATGTGTACAATGTTCCAGGTTTCAAGTCCCCAATTTCTGCATTGGTGGTGTTAGAAGTTTCATTCCTGGGAGCATCAGTTCCTTCTATTAGTATCCGATAAGTATAGTTAGATGCATTTGGATCGCTATTGTTCCACTTCAAAGTTATTGTTGAACTACTGCGGTTTTCAAGACTGATATCAAAAACTGGGCTGGGTTCTGTTAAAAAAGGAAAAGGGTTTTAGCCGCACTGATGAAGGGATTTTTTTTAATTACACAGCTAGATGTTACTGCTAGAAATTTTTGACCCTGATATAGGTTTACTATAATTTAACTAGCTGACCTTTTTGTGGGTATTTCAATATTTTCACCACAAAAAAATAAAAACGGGAGGGCAGATGCCTAAGTTTTGCTTTCAAACCCGCAAAAATTAAAGAAGTCCACTTGCATGTACAGTCATACCTCATGTTGAAGTAGCTTCTGGTTAAGCATTTTTGGGTTGCGCTCTGCGGCGACCCAGAAGTAACAGAGCGTGTTACTTCTGGGTTTCACTGCTCGTGCATGCGCAGATGCTCAAAATGACGTCACACGCATGCGCGGAAGTGGCGAATCACAACACGTGCAGACGCGTGTTGCGTTCGCTTCATCCTGTTCGCATCCAGAGGTACCACTGTACTAATTTAAAACATTTCTATGTTACCTTCTGCATCAAGTCGCAAGACGGCATACTAAAATATGAAAATTGGGGGAAGTTCTTTGGCAGAGTCAGTGCTACCTATAGGCCTTGCATTATCTTCTCCCAGTTAGCTCTCTCACAATATCAAATTTTATTTCACTCCTTCCCACCTCCCCCCCAAAACCCCTCACAGACACTTCCATTCTGTGTCACTACTGCATATTGCTTATGAACTTGGCAAAAGGTCTCTCCCCCACCCAATAAATTGGAATCAGAATTATTCCCCCATTCTCAACCCCTGTCAATTCTACAACTGAGCATAAATTTCAGAATAAGAATAAAAGAACGTCCCACAATTGCAATTTGGCATCCATTCCATTAAAATGACAAGCATATCGTATTAAACAGCTGCAACTAAGTGTGCAGAAAACTAGTTCCCCAGCACATTACAGGCCTTCTGGCTATAGTTCTGTTTGACTCCATATTGAAGATGCAGGGAATGTACCTTTATGGAGCCCATGGCAGTTAGAAATCATCATAGATCTTTCTTACTTGTATAAACAGTTGTAGTATCTGGTTCTCCTTCAACTGCACCATTATCGACTTGTGAGTATATTCTGAATGTATACAATGTTCCAGGTTCCAGGCCCCCAATCACTGCACTGTTGGTGTTATAAGATTTATTCCTGGGAGGATCAGTTCCTTCTATTAGTATCCTATAAGTGTAGTTGGAATCATTTGGGTTGTTCCACTTTAAAGTTACTTCTGTGTCACTGAGGTTTTCAACCTGGATGCCAAAAACTGGATTGGGCCCTGTTTAAGGAAGTGTTATCAGATTTAGTATTGCATAAATCCCTACAGCTAATATTTCGTCAAGATTAAACATTCACTTAGGAGGCATCAGCTACTTGTCATATCTGTTTCCACCTTTACATACCAAGAACAAACTTGCTGTAGAATCAATTAAAAAAAAAAATCAAACTTATTCAGTGCATACAAAAAAGGTAAAGGACCCCTGATAGTTAAGTCCAGTCGCGAACGACTCTGGGGTTGTGGCGCTCATCTCGCTTTACTGGCCAAGGGAGCTGATGTTTGTCCTCAGACAGTTTTTCCGGATGATGTGGCCAGCATGACTAAGCCGCTTCTGGCGAACTAGAGCAGTGCACGGAAACACCGTTTACCTTCCCGCTGGAGCAGTACCTATTTATCTACTTGCACTTTGACATGCTTTTGAACTGTTAGGTTGGCAGGAGCAGGGACCGAGCAGCGGGAGCTCACCCCGTTGCGGGGATTTGAACCGCCGACCTTCTGACCGGCAAGCTCTAGGCTCAGTGGTTTAGACCACAGCGCCACCCGTGTCCCTTCAGTGCATACCCTGGTATAAACTCAGAAAACATTTTTAATAACTGCAGTCAATTTCCCACCTACTTCCTAAAGCATCTTTCATACTTGGAAAGGCATAGCCTTAATGCACATTAGCTGCACAAGGAAGCAAGGTGCAGTGGACTTGCCACTTATGCGATGGTTTGTTTCTGGGGGTACAAGCGCAAAAAAACCAAAATCAGGCATAGCCCGGAACCCCCGGAACTGCCCCCACCCCTGTGTGGTCGAGGGCTGCTTAGTGGGCTCTGCGAAGGTCGCACAAGGGCCCTGAGGTGCTCCCAGAGCCCTCCTGCAATCTTCCCAGAGCCAGGTAAGAGAGGTGGAGGACTTAAAAAACTATTTTCACCATTGGTGGGTAGCAAACCTGCTCTCCATTTATTTTTCCCCACCCACCCACATAAGATTGCAAATGCATAAGTAAAATGTGAATGTGCATAACATTTCAAATGTTTCCTTACTGGTATAAACAGTTGTATGATTTGGTTCTCCTTCAACTGCACCATTATCAACTTGTGGGAATATCGTGAATGTATACAATGTTCCAGGTTCCAGGCCCCTAATTACTGCATTGGTGGTGTTAGAAGTTTCTTTCCTGGGAGGACCAGTTCCTTCTATTAGTATCCGATAAGTGTAGTTAGATGCATTTGGGTCGCGATTGCTCCACTTTAAAGTTACTGTTGAATTACTGCGGTTTTCAAAGCTGATGTCAAAAACTGGGCTGGGTTCTGTTCAAGAAAAAGAAAAAGGGCTTTATCTGCACCACTGAAAGAAAATATCTCCATTTGAGAATGTGCTACCCAAAATCTGTTAAGAGATACAAGGCATTACAATTTGGTTTGCAAAAACTGTGCTCCTTTTTCTCCAGTTATAGATGTTTTGATAAATAACGTAAAAATGGAAAGGTACCTGAATTGCTCTAAACTTATACTTTTAATTTTAATATGTTCTGGTGAAGAAACAGGGTGAGCATACGTGCAATTTAAATTTTAACATTTGTTTTCTATGTGCAATTGCATCAATCATTTGAAGGCACACTTGAATAAATGTTTGCAGCACTTGGCTCTCCTTCAGTCTTGTTACCATCTGCTTGAGGATATATGTTACAACACCGGTTGAATAACTGGGAATTTACAAGCAGGTGTTTCCTATTCATTAACAATTTATCTATGAACAGAAAGCAACAAAACTGATGGAGATGCAACAGCACAAGCTCATGCACTGGTGCCACTCAAGATTTCACTCCTGGGAGGTATATCAGTTGATATGTCCTGCAAACATACCTGGAAGCCACAGGACATTTTTGTTTAAGGTTAAATATTCTGTTCTATTGATCTGTATGAAAACTGCATTCTACTGCACAAAGTTACAAGAGTCAGATGAACAACGCTCAGGAAGCTTACCATAACCTGTGGGATTATGTCAAACTACTGTTTTATTTGCAAGAAAGGCAACCAATTCTGAAAATTAAAACAGCCAAATCTAGGCTCTTTCCCAGCTAAGTAATCAGACAGGTAATCAGAAGCAGTTCTTAATACTTGGCATATATTATATACTGGCTAAATCAGGGATAGGAAACTTGGGGCCCTCCAGATGCTGTTGGATTCCAATTCCAACAAGCTCTAGCCAGCACTGCCAATGGCTAGAGATGATGGAGTTGGGGTCCAACAACATCTGGAAGGCAACAGGTTTCCCATCCCTGGCTTAATCAAGAAGTTAAAATCTTTAAAGTTAAAATCTTTAAAGTTAAGAAGAAACAGGAAGTGCAGAAAAAGTCTAACAGGAGTGTGAAGGCAGAGCCGAGCTGCACAAAATTTGACTTAGCATATCCAACGGCTGCTGGACAGATGCTGTGGTTGTGTGTCTAGTGCAGTCTCTGTGGGAACAAGTGCACAGCCTGAAGACTAAAGTCTATAATGGAGTACAGCAAGCTTGACAGGTGGGTGGAGTTGTCCAACTGCCAATCAGCTGGTGTCACAGCAGCCTCAGATGAGCCATTTCTGCCCACACAGTTCAAAATCAACCCATGTGAGGAAAGGCACAAGCTACAAAATGACCAACGATCAGGTGAATGCCACATCTTGGAGGTACCTCAAGATGGATTCATATAGGTCCTCGTAATGGGAGAGTCACTCTTCAGAAACAGGCAGCTGAGACTAATTCCACGACGGCCTTCATTCTAGACAATTGTAGCAAGGACACCAGAGGAGTTCCTTAAAGGTGAGCAAGTGTATTGAGGTATAAGCCCTCATAAGGGAAAGTCTATAACGTTTGGAAGTTCTTGTGTACAAAGGCTTGGACACAACTGATTTCAAAGACAGTGGCATGTGCTTTAATGGTTGCATTGAAGACATGGCAACCAACTTGTCTGTCCAGAAGAAAAACTGCACATAACATGAAGCAGTCTAGCTGTGTATGCTGAGAAGGGGCTGGTGATCATTATACATTTGGGTACCAACACTACATTGTGAAATGTGGCAGCAAGGTCCAGAAAGGCAAACGTTGGCTATTCAATCCAAGGGTGAATCCACAGTTTCCAAGCAGTGATTTTAGAAATGCTTCATGTACACAGCAGCTGACCAGGCAAAGCTGTGTAGTCTCTACACACATCTAAGACAATTGCGTCAGGAGGAAAAGGTTCAGATTCATACAGTACTGACAAACATTCTGCGGCAAAGGAAATCCCAATCCCATATGTCGGATTTGAAGGACAGCAAAACTATTCATACATTTTTAATTCTTAACTTTGCTCCTGAGTGTCTTTAAACCAAACCTCTTTTCTGTAGAACTCAATTACTATATTCATCAGTTAATTATTTAAGGCTCTTACTTGGCAGCTCTGGACTTTGTATAGTTCCATTACCTCAAAAAGCCTTCAGCGACATTATATTTTTTTTTAAAAAATAGCCAAATGTAACAGGGAAAGAAAATGAGTGCTCTCTTTGAATTTAAAACCAACTATTTTTATTTAAAGAATATTACTGTTTCAAAGCACTACACAGAACCCCCCTCCCAAAATTTCTAAATGTGGACCAAATGAAGGAGGCTTACAGTTGGACTTATTTGCTTGCAGGAACAAACATGACTCGAAAGGAAAACCTGTACAGCTCAGCAGGAAAACTTCCTGAGTGAGGCAAAGTGCACACAATGGAGCCTGTAGTGCTAATAATTGTAGGAGGAGCCATTTGCTTTCCAAGGCTAAGCATGGGAAGAAGAACCCTGGCTGTCATTTGCACTATTGATCAGATGGCTGGCTGCTGTTAGAGGCTATAGACTTCAGTTGTCCTTTGCATTAGAACGGACAGTTCAGTTCCATTAGTCAGTGGCAGCGCCTGGTCTTACTGGAATCAGCTACTAGTAGCAGAATCGCACACGTGTGAGAAATCCAAGCAATCTTCTCTCTATTTAAAATGTAAGAACTGCCTCCGATGCCATCTCAGAACCATAAACATCTCTTCCAGCCCATTACTTACTTGTTGTAATGATTTTGCAGCATGGTTTTTCGGCAGAAATCTTAAAAGTCACTTCGTACTGCGTGCCAGGTTGAAGTCCAGATACCGTCGTATTCGATAGTTGAACTCCAGCACGTGTTCCATTTGCAAGCGTTACATTACTTATTATATGGTTGTCAGGTGGCTGGATATGTATTTCTGTTTCTGATACGGTTACATTTACAGATCCACATTCATTAACACCTGTGCAGAAGAAAAAAAGAGCCAACAGCTAAATGATTTGGCTTAACTAGAGGTTTTTTCCACTGCTAAATGAAATATTTGTTACGAAATATGGGGAAATACTCTCTGTCTGTTATATGAGCTCTGGACAGTATGAAACTGGTGAGCAGTGTGGGGTGGGAAGAGGTGCTTCTGCAGATCAAGAGTCAACAAGAGACCAGATCGTATGCAGAACTGATCTAATGCCAGGATACTTGTATGGCAATGGCACAAAAAAGGGGGCAGGGCCTTGGATGAGCACAATATGCAGCATTCTCAGTGACTTTCTGTTGATAGCAACAGAAAAGAGTTAGGTTTTCTGCAAGAGATGGCGCTTGTACTACGAAGGGTAGAAGCTGTTGCATTGGTACAAGCCAAGCAGATCTACAGAAGTGGAATAAACAATCTGAAGGGAAGCAAGCCTATCAACATACCATTTAATATTCATAAACCGGATAATGTGAAAAGCTATAAAATTCAAGTAACAAGTTAACAGCAGCACCAGGGGTGCTTCCTGGCCTGGGAACAGAGGTACAGAGGTGAAAGGTTTCAAACAGCATTTACAGAGCTGCGTTGGGTAACCATAAATCAACACCAGTGACCCCTCTATCAGGGATAGAATTGAAATCTGAACGGATAATAAGGGTGGTACTTACATTCAGCAGCAACTGCTACCTGTTAAAAAGAAAGAAAAGGCATTAGAAGATCCTGAAAATGTCATTACTACTGTGGCATACATTTGTGCTTTCAATGCAGCAGTGGTGTTTGCTAATACGAGGGAAGTCAGTTTCTCCGATTCACCCTTTCCCTGGCGGTTCCTTCCATCACCATCTAACCCTCTGGAACAGATTTTTGGGGATGGGGGGAATTTGTGAACAAACATCTCCCATTCTCTTTTGCATTAGCAGACACCTCCACTGGATGAAAAGCCATTCTGCAAGAAGAATGTCAGCTTTGGCTTTCACCCATAGAGATGCATAAGCAAAAAAGAAAAAGCAGAGAGATGTACATGCAGAAGAATGGGGAGAAAGGATAGCAGTTGACACATATTCTACCACTTCCCCTAAATATGGCAGCTAGAAATATTTATAAAACATGAAAAGCTGAAAAGATCAATATATTTAACAAGACCCCTGAGGGTTTGTTATGCTATGTAGTGACTCCATTTGTGGGCATCACAGTAGATTTTTATACTGGATACAGGTAGACATCGTGTCATTATTTGCTGCTCACACCTACAGAAGCTCATCTAGGCCACTGTGAAGCCCAAGATCACTGGACTCTTCCATTATTCCCATTGCCTACCTCTAAAAAACCTGACTTTTAAAAAACCTGACTTTTCATACACAAAAGCCAAATGATCTTTTTTATTTTAAATGAGTTTTTTTTATTTAAAAAAAGATTTACAAAATCTGTTTTTCTACACTTAAGGAAAAAATTCTACTGGCTTGATTGAGTTGATTAGCGATATTGTCTACTGAATATCCCCAGGAGCTATAGTCTCCCCATAGTATTAATGTAATCATTCAAGCAACTTCTGTTTATAGAAGATATAATAATATACTTCAAAGTATGCTTCAAAGTAAAATGCTGTTATCTAAAACTATCACTTCTTGTAATACTGAGGGCAAACCACTAGAGGCCACAACAAAACCACAAAAGTTATGTGCTCATAATAAGCTTAAATATGAAACATTTACACTAGATTTTGTCAGCCAAATGACCCAACATTCTGTTGGGTCGCTCTCAGGGTTTACTAACCCCTTCCTTTCCAGGCATTCCCAGTGGGTAGTTTTACTTGGGGCAATTTTACTTCTGCTGCTGAGATTTATGGTGAGTGCTACAGGGATCTGTCTTATTCCCCTACACCTATATGAACTTCCTGGAGCAGATAACCTTGGGTTTGATATGACTAGTTATGTTTATTATGAAATTTCCACTTCAACCTGTGCTCAGGGCAGCAGATGATTAACAGAAATCCAAAATAAAACAATTTAAGACGTCACAGCAGCAATAAAAACTGGCAGGAAAAAAACCCTACATCATCCAGACAGAGAGAAAGAATCAAACGAAGGACAGGCCAAAGTCCTGCCAAACCAAAAACTCTTTCAGCTAATGGTGAAAGACCAACGAAAAGGTGGCTAGGTGGGTATTCTAGGGCAGGGATTTCTGCATCATGAAAGGCCCTTTTCTTTGTTCCTGCGAACTATACAGGCAGTGACCATTTCTTATGGGGGGTTCTGTTCCCAGCCTCCATGTTTCACTGGAGCGTGCCTCAGCCTGCCCCCATTCCATCCTCTTCCAGGTCCAAAATGACCCGTGCATGGAGGTGTCTAAGATGTTAGCCACCTGTACTGATCCAGCATCTTAGGGAAGTACTAGTGACCGGTTGAGGAGCTAAGCTGATTGTTGTCTGCCCACTATTTCCCTTAAACCACTGCCGCCAGGCTCACCCGATTCAGTTGCTGTGGATAATTGGAATTTGCCTTTCCTGGGAAGCCTTTGGAACAACCCCCAAATCACTATTTAAAACTTCTTAATTAGCTGGTACCACTCCCTACTTTGTAAATGTACTTTAATGAGAACTGTTAATTTTGCTTTTCACTTGTTTTATAAAGTACGGAAATATACTATGTTTTACAGCACGAAGTTTTGCTTTAATTAATTGTGCATCAGAACAACTTTTGATTTAAAGTAAGTATTTTAAACAAAGAGAGACATGTGATTTATTTATTTTTAAAATGCTATCACGGAAAACATGGGACAAAGTGTTTATCTGAAATACGACTCCACCCTGAAAAGGGTTCACGGTGCCCTAGGACAACGCAGAATAATGAAGCAAAGCCAGAAAGACCTGAAATAAAAGCAGTAATTATATGTGAGCGAAATCCTATCCTTGCACAATTATCTTAGATTTCCAGCAACTTATTTCTACAATGGTTAGGAATTTTTCTATTGTGTTCTAGAACTGAAGAGTCATATGCCAATTATTTAGGCTTGTATCCAAAGTAGCGCTAAGTCACTCATTCTTCTAGCCTAAGGATCTATGCTTGTGCAACAGAACTTCCCCGCCCCTTGCATGCACCCGCTAAATCTGTTCTGGGAATTTCTCCCAACCTTTCAGAGGAAATTATGGGAGAGTGTAGGGTGCACAAGGGTGTGGGGACAGGGAGAGTAAACGGGGGGAGTTCTGTTGCACAAGTGTAAGAGCACTGGATACCCCCCTTGATTCTTATGTACTTATTTCATTTATATCCCCACTTTCCTCCAGGCTCCAGACAGCATACCATGGCTTTCCTCATTTCCCATTTATCTTCCTAACAACCCTTTGATGTTGGGTAGGTTGAGAGACAGTGACTGGCCCAAGGTCACCCTGTGGACTTTGTGGCTAAGTGGAGACACCCGCTGCTCCAGGGTGTGATCTGAAGGCACAGAATGAGCCACCTTGCTGAAGTTAAACAGGTATGAATTTGGTCATACCTGGTTGGGTGGCCATTTGAGAGCCACATGTATGCAAGCCTTGGGTTCCATGATGAAAAGGTGGCACATAAGTACAAATAAAACCTGCTGCATTGTACTGGTTTGCTACTAGATTTCCTAAAAGAGTACGTTACTGGCAATATTTAATATATGCTTGCTGGAAACCTGCTAAGGTCCCCAAAGTACTAAATTCAACATGACTTCCTTCTGTCACCAGCCAAGTCCCAGGAGTTATCAAGGTCTTAAAGAAAGAGGAAAACAGCCTCCTTTATAAATATTTATGAACCTATCTTTATAAATGTGAAGAAAAACATGATAAATTAATGTCTTGGCCCAGAAAGGAAGCAGGGCCTTCATGGTGCTGATAAGATGGCTGTGTTCACAGAAAATCTGGCAAGCTTTTAGAAAACACTGGTACTTAGAGAGAAACACATGTTCAATGGCCAAGGCAGGCCCTAGAGGGGCTTTTCCCTTCTGCAGGTGCTGATCAGTACGGACCCTCTGAGGATAAAATATGAGCAGCCCAGGGGGTGGGATTGGCTGGGCAGTAAATAAATGGCAAAAATAAGAAATCAATAAATATTTTTTATGGATGTATGCACGCTTGCTCTCTCTTTTTCCACGTTGTTGATTGTTGTGGATATGAAACCTTGTAGTCAAATGAAAAATGAGAGCTTTAGGGGGACAAGTGAGAAGAAAATGCACTATGATAGAAGGGTAAAGAAAGTTGTTACAAGAACTGCTCAGGGGTCTGAGTGCAACAGACTTCTGCCTGCGCAACATGAGATCACCTTCCTCTTCCCCAACCCTCCAGAGCTGATTCTGAGGGTTCACAGTGGGCTGCAGGCGGGCAGAGAAGGGGTGGCGGTTCTGTTCCACTAGCAGACATCCTTTGCACTAGAAGAACAGGTGTGTTGGTTACTAGCCAGTTTAACTTTTAGAACAGAAATTTACTGAGGCAGTTTAAACAAAACCCTGCAGTGCATTAAATCTGCTTCCTGCAGAGAGCTTTGCATAAAAGGACTCATTTTATGAGATCAGCTTCCATCACCAAAGCTTCAGATAATTGTGCTGTAGTAAGCGGACATAAGAAGTGGTCAATTTCCTTCATTGGTGTGAGTCACCCTATGGATGAGCTAATCACAGGTGCAAGGTCAGCCAAGTCAGTTTCTACAGTAACTGCCCAGTGCCACGACTACCGTATTTTTCGCTCCATAGGACGCTCCTGACGAAAAGACGCACCAAGTTTTTAGAGCAGGAAAACAAGAAAAAAATATCGGACTCAAATGTTGTACTAAGCTATTTAAAACAGCAAAGTGTGTGGCTCCTGTCCACTTTGCTGCTTTAAAGCGAGCCACGGTATATAATGAAGTGAATGGGAAAAGGACAGACATTCCATTATAATGCAGCTGTTTTCATTATCACTGGGAAGTCAGTATTGGCAGCAGTCACAAAAACTAAAATTTGAGCATTTTACTGTTATTAATCAAGAATATTAATAGTCAGGGAGAGAAACCAGGGCTGTGCAAATGAGAAGTGCTTGGAGTATGGAGGAACAGCAAAGAGATAAAATGATTGCGCTCCAGTTCCTAAATCTCTGAAGTTTTCTCAAAACAGGCATGGTTGTTTTGAAAGGAAGATTCAAAATGGAGTGACTGAGCAAAGAACAGAGGAGGAAAAGAGGGCAGATAAATAGCTTCCATTCAATAACAAGAGAACACAATGTTTTTGGTTTGGTATAGGTGGACTGTACTTGTAAGAATTTGTATAATGAATTATAGATTTGGAGTGGAATATCAGTGTCTCTTTTCAGCAATAAAGATTAGCTGCTAGGAACATGGTCCACACACAAACACACAGGATGTCTGGTTATAGTTGTGCAGTTTAAACTGTTCCTGAGCCAGATGCCTGCTCAGTTGTAGCTGAGCTCACTATTACTGGTTTGTGGAGATGCTTTGCATGTATTTATGACTATTTCTGCAAAACTGCTACTTGAAGAAATCCCCAAACTTAATATTTTTAAACTTCAAATGGAGCTCAGAATCCTGTTAGGCAATCCTCTGCAGTTGAATAAGGAGGCACTGAGAGACAGCAATTTGCTGCTCCCTACCAAGCATCCCAGGGGTGCAGGGCAAAGAGCACCCCAGGAGCACACAGCCTTCCCTCTGCATGCAAACCTTGTCGGGGCTTCAGGG